TCTGGGTCTAAAGACTCAGAGAGACTGGGACTCTGGGTCTAAAGACTCAGAGAGACTGGGACTCTGGGTCTAGAGACTCTGGGTCTAAAGACGCAGAGAGACTGGGACTCTGGGTCTAGAGACTCAGAGAGACTGGGACTCTGGGTCTAGAGACTCAGAGAGACTGGGACTGGGTCTAAAGACTCAGAGAGACTGGGACTCTGGGTTTAGAGACTCAAAGAGACTGGGACTCTGGGTCTCGGGACTCAGAAAAACTGCCATTCACATAATATCTCTGTTTCAAAAACCGCCAGACAGAACTTGCGTCTGAGAATCACAGAGCTTGGTGCAGATTTTCTCTGGGCCCGGCGGACCGCCGACAGCGATTTATTATCACAAAGTCTAACCGCTGCTGCACAGCATTGCCAGATTTTGATAATCCTACAAATAATAACAAATACCAAAACGTAATATATTTGAGCAACTACGTATTTGATTCAATATTGCCTAAAACAACATTCTTTAGGAGAAGACGCGATGCCATCAGTTTAACACGTAGGCTTTCGCGACCAATATTATTCATAAACGTTCTTGGGTCAGAGCGCGTAACAATAGATGCCATCAGCGACAGCTCACGTGTTCAGATCTCCGTCGAGCAGACGTTACTTAAAAACAAATGTCCAGGCAAGAAGTTAGCGTGACTGTCTTTAGAGAGAGCACGCGGCTTGTAGCGGGCGTTCGGTGAGCGTTTAGCAGCGGGATGCGATTCACCGCCAGAACCCGCCGATGCTACCCTCCGCCAGGTCCCACAGCGGCGGCGGCAGCTGCCACGGTCAACGCGCCGTGTCCTCCAGGGTCTGCCCTCACGGTCCCCTCACGCCCCCATCCCCCATGTGTGGTATGCACACACCCCACACTCCCCCACACACCCTGCACGCACCCTGCATGCACCCCACGCCCGCCATTGCTCCCCATGCTCCCCCACGCACCCCACACAACTCACACACCCCACATGGGAGTAATTGAGCTGTAGGTACCAGATTACAGGCGGCCCCCACTTTTACGACATCACGACGTGTTCCTAGGAACCCCATCGTCGTGAATTGGATCGTCGTAAAACCGGAACCCCGTTTCCCCATAGACGGTAGAGACGGTAGAAGCACCACTTGCCGATCACTGGGGAATAACCAGACTAGAACCCAGACTAGAACCCAGACTAGAACCCAGACTAGAACCCAGACGAGAACCCAGACTAGAAGCCAGACTAGAACCCAGACTAGAACCCAGATAAGAACCCAGACTAGAACCCAGACTAGAACCAAGACGAGAACCCAGACTAGAACCCAGACTAGAACCCAGACGAGAACCCAGACGAGAACCTAGACTAGAACCCAGACTAGAACCCAAACTAGAACCCAGACTAGAACCCAGACTAGAACACAGACTAGAACCCAGACGAGAACCCAGACTAGAACCCAGACTAGAGCCCAGACTAGAACCCAGACGAGAACTCAGACTAGAACCCAGACGAGAACCCAGACTAGAACCCAGACTAGAACCCAGACGAGAACCCAGACTAGAACCCAGACGAGAACCCAGACTAGAACCCAGACTAGAACCCAGACTAGAGCCCAGACGAGAACCCAGACGAGAACCCAGACTAGAACCCAGACTAGAACCCAGACTAGAGCCCAGACGAGAACCCAGACGAGAACCCAGACTAGAACCCAGACTAGAACCCAGACGAGAACCCAGACTAGAACCCAGACGAGAACCCAGACTAGAACCCAGACGAGAACCCAGACTAGAACCCAGACGAGAACTCAGACTAGAACCCAGACGAGAACCCAGACTAGAACCCAGACTAGAACCGAGACTAGAACCCAGACGAGAACCCAGACTAGAACCCAGACTAGAGTCCAGACTAGAACCCAGACTAGAACCCAGACGAGAACCCAGACTAGAACCCAGACTAGAGCCCAGACTAGAACCCAGACGAGAACCCAGACTAGAACCCAGACCCACTCCGTCGTGTTGGAAGCTGCCACGTAAAGCGAGTTTCTGCGTCGTAGATCGATCCATGGTGGCATTACATAAACGGCGTAAACCACCGGACTGTCGTAGACTGAACACCGCCTGTGCAGCAGTCTGAACTTACTTGATAAAAAAATAAACAAATGGAAGCAACATCACGGGAAGCATTACTAACACAACTGGAATGCTCTGGTCAGCGATCGGAATCCCAAAGGAAAATTACATCTTCATCCTGAAGATCCACGAGGAGTCGCAGCGTTCCCTGCCAATAGACGCTCATCGTGGCAGTCATAATTTAGACTGCATTTATAAACTAACTATTTAACAATCTTTTTATTTGACCAGGTAAGGCCTCACTGATCTCTGTAGCTCTTTATCAGAAGCGACCTGGCTATCACAAATGATAGCTCAACAAAGTGGCTTATCACGTGGACATTTATAGCAGCCAAATAGTCTAAACGCGTGACGTTGATTCTAAATGTGGAGGGAAAACCGTTGGACCCGGAGAAAAATCCACACGACCACGGGGAGAGAGACGCAAACTCCAAATACACAACAGGCGTCAGGGTCGGGATCGAACCAGGCAAGGTGGCTAACATCTCGCCACCATAGCGCCCCATTAGACCTTGCACCTTTGTACCAACAGGCAGTAGCGACTGTGTTCACGGTCTCTGCGTGCGCATCATGCAGACCGCCTGAGCTGTCAACTCGAGGAACCTGGCGCATGGGCGGGCAGGGACCAAGATCTCAGGCTTGGCTGTGGCGACGTCTCCGTGAGATCCTCTCCTCACCCATCTCGCCTGCTCTCTTAGAAGCTCCGAACCCCTCGACCGCAGTACAGTGTTGAAAGCACAGTGTAATATGAAACAAAACAACAGCGTTGTCTGGCTCGACATAGCAAACCCTGACCGCACCACCTGTGTAAAAAAAACACTCAGGATGATGGTCTCCAGTATAGTATTAGCAAAGCTACCCCGTAAGGTATTTGTAAAGCTACCCAGTTTCTACGCTAACAGAGGGCGGACGGTGCTAGGGTTGGATGCCCATGTTTCTCACAGTTAAGAAGAAAACGCCGCATCGCCGTGTCTGCCACGGCTCACACAACTGCCGGTGCGGGGATGCATCGTGCTAGACCTGACGGCACAAACTCAAGTACGCGTGCACGAAGAAACCAGTAAACGCACAAAGACCATCCCCGTACAGCCTACACAGCATGTTGGGGCAAACGCTGTTCGCGAGCACCGATGAAGGCCAGGATGGTGAAACAGGGGGCTGGTTTTGCCAGCACCACGCCAGACCGTCTTTGTCTTCCCATGGTTTTGTTTTCACACCTTACCCGCCATACTCATTTTGGCTGAGTGAAGCTAGGGGAGGCCCAGGACCAGTTCCGATAACCGCCCACCGATGTTAGCGGCGGCCGGGAATTGATCTCAGATTGCAGAGTTTATGGCTGTTCCCCACTACGTACGCCAGTATATATACACACACACCGGTACTTGCACGCAACAAAGAACAAAGATCCCCTGTATAGCCTTAACAGACTGATGGGGCAAGCGCTGTAAGTGAGCAGTACCTGTGAAGGCCGGCGCAGTGGCACACGAGGGGGGTGGGGTAGGTGGCCAGCACCACGCCCGGCCGCCTTTGTCTCCCTAGTGGAGATGTTTACACACCGCACCAGGTACTCGTTTGAGGCTGAGTCGACCTAGCGGAGGCCTAGGACCAGTTTAGATCATCATCGCTGGGGTTAGTGGCTGCGAGCAGGAATCGTACTCAGGCCGTCGGGTTCGTAGCCATCACTCCCCACCCAAACGAACACACACACACAGGTACGTGGACATATTTTCGCACGTGTAAAAACTGAGTTCCATTTCCCAGCTGAAGCTAAAAAAAAGGTATGTATATACCATTGCGGTTTGGCTATTGGCTGTCAAACACGAAGCTGAGGAACGCTCACGAGCCGGTTTGCTGGAGTGACAGAGCGTGCTGCCACGTGTGGCATGTGGATCATCCAGTGACTTACAAAAACCATGACGGCTCGATCTATGTACGGTTACACTTTTGCACCGTACGTAGCCAACCGCACTCATCGGGGTGCGGATTGAAAAAATACAGCTCGGCACAGTGAACCTTACAGTCATCAGTTTCACATCACGTAATTTATAAAAGCAGAATTATATATATTTATAATAATGTAATTCTATAAAGCATAATAGTAACATTTAATGGTAACAATTAAAGTACTACGTCTAAGTTTCTACCGAGGGGACACATGACAAACGTCACAGAGGGAAGTGAGGTTTCCCCAGGCGCGAGTCTCGCGCTCCCCGCTCCCAACTGGCGAGCGTCGCCGTCCATAGTCCAACAGCGCGGGAGTCGACCTCGCGTAGTGCACATGCCCAGCCGCCGCATGCCCAAGCAGTTTCTGTTTGGCCGGATAGAGGGGGGCTAAACGGACGCGGCACAGGCTAGAGAGATGGACTGATGCGGTACAGAAGGATGGAGAGCTGAGTGGACTTGCCGATGACCGGTACCCGCGGTGTCAAGATCCGCCTCTGTGGAGGAGGCTCGTGAAGGACGCTGCTGCTGCTACTGGGCAGTTGGAGGCAGTCGCCTTCCAGCAACAACGGAGGGCAGCGGAGCGACGCTCACAACAACGAGCGGAGCACCGGGGACTAAAGAACAGAAAGTTGGCACAGTAGGGGACACAGGTGGTGCATCAGCCAGTCGTCTCAGTCAGTCAACTCATGGCACCTGGGTCTGTCCCGTGACCTCCTGTCAGCGTGGCCTAAGAGTGCACCATGGTGATGTCACCGCCACTTAGTGGTGAATGATGGCTATTGGTGTTGTTGGTGTGTCAGGATGGTGTGTCAGGATGGTGTGTCACGATGGTGTGTCACGATGGTGTGTCACGCTGGTGTGTGTCACGGTAGTGTGTGTGTGGTGTGTCACGATGGTGTGTCACGATGGTGTGTGTCACGGTAGTGTGTGTGTGGTGTGTCACGATGGTGTGTCACGATGGTGTGTGTCACGGTAGTGTGTGTGTGGTGTGTCAGGATGGTGTGTCACGCTGGTGTGTGTCACGGTAGTGTGTGTGTGGTGTGTCACGATGGTGTGTGTCACGGTAGTGTGTGTGTGGTGTGTCAGGATGGTGTGTCACGCTGGTGTGTGTGGTGTATCCCGGCTGGGCTACTTGGGGTTCTGCTGTGGAGACGTTTGGCTCGGGGTGGCGGCCGCCCTGCCCGGGGAGTGGGCCGGGGAGCGGCGCTCGCCGGAGGCCAACGTCTCGGCCCCCTCGGCTCCCTGGCACGCTCCTCCACCGCACTCCTCCTGTGCCGCACTGCTCGTGGCCAACTCCAGCGCCTGGGAGACCGGAAACACGCGGCAGCAGGGAGATGTGGATCAAGCAGAATGTGCATCAACCTGGAGGTGCATCAAGCAGGAGGTGCATCAACCAGGAGGTGTATCAACCAGGAGGTGGATCAACCTGGAGGTGCATCAACCAGGAGGTGGATCAACCTGGAGGTGCATCAAGCAGGAGGTGCATCAAGCAGGAGGTGCATCAACCAGGAGGTGCATCAACCAGGAGGTGGATCAACCTGGAGGTGCATCAACCAGGAGGTGGATCAACCTGGAGGTGCATCAAGCAGGAGGTGCATCAACCTGGAGGTGCACCAACCAGGAGGTGCATCAACCTGGAGGTGCATCAAGCAGGAGGTGCATCAACCAGGAGGTGCATCAACCAGGAGGTGGATCAACCTGGAGGTGCATCAACCAGGAGGTGCATCAACCAGCAGGTGGATCAACCAGCAGGTGGATCAACCAGGAGGTGGATCAACCAGGAGGTGGATCAACTAGCAAATCGATCAACCAGCAGATGGATCAAGTAGAAATTGCATCAACCAGGAGGTGAATCAACATTATTGGTGATATATTAGGGCGACTGCAATTCACTTTTCGTAGAGGTCACCGAAGTGATCCACGTAGCGTTCAGTTCATGGTAACTCTGACCCGGCCCCTGCCCCCGATCGAGAGAGGAAGCTTCAGCGTAGCCCAGACGCCACGCGGAGCCGCGGGCGCCGCGTCCCCGGAGGCGAACGCTCGACGAGCAGAGACAGACAGAGAGCGGGGACCGCTCCGGGTGGACCCAGAGACGCGGCCACCCAGGTTCAATTCGCGCTCGCGGTCAATGTCGGCGCCGTCGTACCGTCCCGACGGCGCTCAGCTCCTCCCGTAGCCGGCGCTGGGCGGCGCGCAGTTGGGACAGCGACATGCGGCTCGGGTCCACGGGACGTGCCCGGCTCCCCGGGACCGCCGCAGGGCCGCCGCCGGAGCCGCCCGGTCTGGCTTTGCGGGCTCCCGGAGCGGCGGCGAGGGGGTGGGGGGGCGCCGCCCCCCGCGCCCGCAGCGCCGCCGTCTCGCGCTCCAGCTCGTCGCAGCGGCGCCGCGCGGCGTGGCACGCCCGCTCCGCCCCGCGCAGCTCCTCAGCCGAGCGCTGCGCCTCCATTTGCCACCACTTGCACACCTGGGGCACGCAAACACGCACGCGCGCACACACGCGCACGCACATGCGCACACGCACATGCAACGATGCCCCCCCGTGTAGCCTCCGATTAGTACAGTTGACTTTGTACGTAAAAAATAAGTTCTACATACACGCATTAACAGGCCGTTGGGGCAAGTGCCCTTAGTAGCGAGCAGCGCCTATGAAGGCCGGCACGGCGGCACACGAGGGGGCGGGTGACCGGCACCACGCCCGGACGCCTTTGTCTAAGGACGTCTTAGCACGCTACCTCTCGCGTCTGCTGCCACGCGTCGTGCAGGAATCCGATCTTGCGATTGGCGCTCTCCAGCTCCTTGTGAGCATGCGCCAGCGTCGCGACCTTCAGCTCCCCGCGCGGCTCCCGGTCCCGCCCGGCCCACAGTCCCTCGGGCCTCCCGTTGAGCCCTGGGGGAGGGCGCGGGGGGCGTGCGGAGAGAAGAGAGACGATGGCGCTGCCGTCGAGGCTGGCCCGTACATCGCGTCGCCGGTACGCTTGGTGTTCCCGCCATCCTCGCAACACGAGGCTATCGCGCGAAGCCAGGCGCTGTGCTTCACAGGCGCCTGTGCAGGTGGTCTCCAGTTCACAACGGTCCGATTTACGACGATTCATTATTCACGACGTTTATGTAACGCCACCATGGATCGACTTACGAGGGAGCGTCCAATAACCTGTGTTGTGAACCTGGATCTGATGATGGCCGAATGGGACAAGTCAGTGGTGATTCACTGATAAGATAATCAGAATCGTTGGCTACATTTAAGTCTTCCCTGCCTTGTCATGGCCGTGTACCCTGCTGGTTCTATCTATCTCCTGACTTTCCATAAGCGGTGACGCATTGGTGGGGATCTACCGAATGAAACGCGCCACTTTAAAATGTAAATTATCGTTATCGTTATGAATCGCCATTGTTTTTTGTTTCTATGAAACTGTAGAACTCGGGGTCACTATTGGAATATTAATCACACGGCTTCGGTCTCTCGCCACGGCATCTCCTCTCACCCAAGTTTCCGTGGTCGGCGATGCTAACACCGGGGTATCCGCCGTCTCCGCCGTGGTGAGCCGGGAAGTACGGCCCCTCCCCGCCGGCCGTGCCGCAGCTATCAAGCGGCAAGTACGAGCACCACGGGAGCTCCGGCTGGCCGAATGTGTCGAACGACGCGTCCAGCGGGCCGAACATCGGGAAGACGTCCTCGCACTGGCCGATGGGCCGAAATTCCCGCTCCGAAAATTCCAACCGATCGAGCAGCCCTGACCCCGGTCGCTGGGGGTCACGGAACGCCGGCTCCGAACCTTCGCGCGGCGGGCCGGTGCCGTGGAACTCCGGCTCCGATCGACCGCCGTAATCGACGCTGGGCCCACTTTGGAGCAGGTGGCCGAAGCTCGATTTCAACGGGATGGGAATCTGCAACTCCGAGTCGGCTTGGAAAAGTGTTTGTAAATTGTTGGGTTCCCAAACCGTGGGCCCGGCACGGGGCCTGGAGTGGTTGGCGCTTGCCGGCTCGGAGTTCTTGCGGTGGCCGAGGAGGAGGCTGGGTGGCTCGGAGTGCGCCGAGAGGCTGGAGGCGCCGGCGGACGAGAGGGAGTGGGATAGTGAGCGGGAGGACGCGGGGCTGAGCGGAGAGTCGGTGACAGGGGAGGGAGACGTGGAGTGTGACCCGGCCACGCTCGCGCTCTCTCCTGCACGCACGTGAGGGGGGGGGGGGGGCGGGGGGGGGATACGCGACGTGGTAGCGGTTAGCACGCCACGCTATGGAACCCAAGTTCGATTCCCGCTCATGGCTGCCCACACCAGTGACGATTATTCTGAACCTGTCCTGGGCCTCACCTATTTAATGATTAAACTATTTTTATTTTACCAGATTCCACAAAGACCACTCTTTGTTGTTCTATGGGAAACGGAGCTTTTGGTAGCCAGGCTCCACGATTGCGGAATTCCCTTCCTTTCCTTGGTCCATTAAGTCATTGCGTCTTGTCAAACGATAACAGAGCATTACCTCTTTCATGTGGGGGGCATAAAGAGGGTGAGGGACAGGGTGAGCCCTTCGTGCTGCCCGAGCATTCTGATTGGCTGAACGCCACTTCAGACGATGCGGCCAACGCGTTGAACGTTGAGATCGGACGTCTTTGCGTTGGGCCGGGACCGGTGCAGATCACGTGACTAGCACTGCCGCTCACCTCTCCAGCCACCGATGCCCTCGCCCTCCCCGGCCTCGCGGGCCGCGTGCAGCTCTCGCTCCGTCTCCTCCTCCTCCACCATCGCGGCCGCGCCCCCCCCACAATCACCGAGCTCCAGAGACCCCAGCGCTGAACCTGGTGGTGGCAGGGTCGGGTTTGGGGTCACACGACAGGGTCAGGGTGGCGGTCCGGGTCATGTTCACGCGAGGGGTTCGGTGCTAGGCCGGCGCTGGGCTGGGCCCTGCGCCAGCTAGTAAACTAAAACTAAATATTTATTTATTTCATCAGGTAAGGCCTACTGATGATTTGTGCAGTGGCTGCGGTTCAGGGTGGACCCCGAGCTTCGTGAAAGATCACACCCAGTGGACTTCTGCGTTGGATCTTTCACAACCGGTGTTTGTTTGCGAGTTCTTTTGAACTCCATTCGGAACGTCACTTTGCACCGACCCCCATGTGAGGTCGACACGAGGCCCCTCCCACACTCCACTTGCACACAGCACGACGTGAACGACGTGACCAGCCTACCCAAGACGTGAACGGCGTGAACGGCCTACTCAAGATGTGAACGACGTGAACGGCCTACCCAAGACGTGAACGACGTGAACGGCCTACCCAAGACGCGAATGACGTGAACGGCCTACCCAAGACGTGAACGACGTGAACGGCCTACCCAAGACGCGAATGACGTGAACGGCCTACTCAAGACGTAAACGACGTGAACGGCCTACCCAAGACGTGAACGACGTGAACGGCCTACTCAAGACGTGAACGACGTGAACGGCCTACTCAAGACGTGAACGGCGTGAACGGCCTACCCAAGACGTGAACGACGTGAACGGCCTACCCAAGAGCTCATGCAGGGACGGCATGGATGGGACCTGGTAGCAGGATGGGAGGGTGACCCGCGGGATGGAGGAACGCCCTGGGGAGTGGAGTCCAACCACACCGGTCTCCGCGAACAATGCCTGCAGCCACACGCAAAATACAAAGACAAAGATCCCCCGATTAGCCTTTAACAGACTGTAGGGGCAAGTTCTGCTAAGGCACACGAGGGGGTGGGTGGCCAGCACCACGCCCGGCCGCCTTTGTCTCACGCGTGGTGATGTTTACACACCGCACCAAGTACTCATTTGAGGCAGAGTCGACCTGGGGGAGGCCCAGGACCGGTTCAGATAATCATCACTGGTGTTGGCCGTGAGCGGGGATCGAACTCGGGCCGTAGGGTTCGTAGTGCGGCGGGCTAACTGCTACACGCCCACATACACACAAAAAGATAAAGACAAAGATCCCCCGTATAGCCTGCACAGACTGTCGGGGCAAGTGCTGTTAGCGAGCACCTATGAAGGCTGGCACGGCACACGAGGGGGTCGGTGGCCAGCACCACGCCCGGCCGCCTTTGTCTCCCCAGTGGCGATGTTTACTACACACTACACCAGGTACTCATTTGTCTCCGCAGTGGGGTTGTTTACACACTGCACGAGGTACTCATTTGAGGCCCAGGATCAGTTCCGATAATCATCACTGGTATTGGCCGTGAGCGAGAATCGAACCTGGGTCGCCAGGTTTGTAGCACAGCGCGCTAACCGCCTCGTTATGCTCTGACCTTGCCACCGCTACCATCGTCGTTGTCTGCTGTACACTACAGGGGGTCCCCGCTTAGGTGATGTTACAACGCATTCCTGGAAACAGCGTGTCGTTGTAAATCGGACCTTGCGCGGCTGCTGCGGCAGCCACTGCGTGGGTGTTGTGGTAGACACCGCGTGGGTGTTGTGGCAGCCACCGCGTGAGTGTTGTGGCAGCCACCGCGTGGGTGTTGTGGCAGCCACCGCGTGGGTGTTGTGGCAGCCACCGCGTGGGTGTTGTGGCATCCACCGCGTGGGTGTTGTGGCAGACACCGCGTGGTTGTTGTGGCAGCCACCGCGTGGGTGTTGTGGCGGACACCGCGTGGGTGTTGTGGCAGACACCGCGTGGGTGTTGTGGCAGGCACCGCGTGGGTGTTGTGGCAGCCACCGCGTGGGTGTTGTGGCAGACACCGCGTGGGTGTTGTGGCAGCCACCGCGAGGGTGTTGTGGCAGACACCGCGTGGGTGTTGTGGCAGCCACCACGAGGGTGTTGTGGCGGCCACCGCGTGGGTGTTGTGGCGGCCACCGTGTGGGTGTTGTGGCAAGAACCGCGTGGGTGTTGTGGCAGGAACCGCGTGGGTGTTGTGGCGGACACCGCGTGGGTGTTGTGGCAGACACCGCGTGGGTGTTGTGGCAGGGACCGCGTGGGTGTTGTGGCGGGAACCGCGTGGGTGTTGTGGCAGCCACCGCGTGGGTGTTGTGGCCGGGCCTGCGTGATGTACCCGCTCGTCAGCGCGCCATGCGGAGGCCCTGGGGGAGCCCAAGCTGGCTCTGCGTGCTGCCTCGCGAGGCCACAGCGGGCTGCCCCAGTCGGCCGAGCGCGAGCGCCCAAACGCCGTCACCTGCAAACGCAGCGGGCGGCCGGCATTCACCTCCGGTACGTCGATGGAAATTCCACGTTTCTATGGTGGGGAACCGGTCTCGCCGAAGAGTCGACTGCTTTGCACTCCGAACAAAGCGGCGTGAGCATTATAGCGACCGCGTGGGTCACGATAGGCCGAGTTGGCCGCTGACAGAAATTGGAGCTGGCCGCTCGCGTTATAGCAATGAGTGTAAATAACGTATCGTTGTGCGCAAAATGTAATCGCTTTCAAATATGATTCGATATTAAAAATAAAAAAATTATTGTGCTAGACGAGCAATACTGGCACGGGGGGGCTCTCACGTTGCCTGCATGCGTGGGGATCTCGCAGGGCGGGGGGCTGCCTGGGATGCAGGGCGACTTTCCTGGCCAGCCCACAGGGAAGGCGTCCTCCTCCCCTCCTCCGCTCGGCATCTCTGCTCCAGACAAAGACAAAGATCCCCCGTGTAGCCTTAACAGACTGTCGGGGCAAGTGCTGTTAGCGAGTTGCACCTGTGAAGGCCGGCACGGCACACGAGGAGGCGGTTGGCCAGCATCACGCCCGACCGCCTTTGTCTCCCAAGTGGCGATGTTTACTAGACACCGCACAGAGGTACTAATTTAAGGCTGAGATGGCCTTGGGGAGGTCCAAGACTCATTCACAGAATCGTCACCGATGTTGGCCCTGAGAGGGAATTGAACGCGGAAAACGCAACAAGGTCGACGATGCCACGACACGGACTACACCACTGGCTGCGGCCACAGTCGTCCTCGAGGCAACACGTTTATTACAAACTAGGGAACATACCACAGAGGGGTAACGGCCCCTCACACCCAATATCCTAAGGAGGTAGCCCCCCTCCGGACTAACGCGCCCTTATTCTGGTTACACCGCTAACCCTACACTGGTTATATCTAAACCCGACCCAAGCCAGGGGTCCAGGTTCTGCCCACTGGGCTCTTCGCTTCAGGTCTTCAAGGTAGCTCTTCAGGTCTTCAGGGTAGCTCTTCAGATCTTCAGGGTACCTCTTCAGGTCTTCAGGTATTCAGGGTAGCTCTTCAGGTCTTCAGGGTAGCTCTTCAGCTCTTCAGGGTAGCTTTTCAGGTCTTCAGGTCTTCAGGGTAGCTCTTCAGGTCTTCAGGTATTCAGGGTAGCTCTTCAGGTCTTCAGGGTAGCTCTTCAGGTCTTCAGGGTAGCTCTTCAGGTCTTCAGGTCTTCAGGGTAGCTCTTCAGGTCTTCAGGGTAGCTCTTCAGGTCTTCAGGGTAGCTCTTCAGGTCTTCAGGTCTTCAGGGTAGCTCTTCAGGTCTTCAGGGTAGCTCTTCAGGTCTTCAGGGTAGCTCTTCAGGTCTTCAGGTCTTCAGGGTAGCTCTTCAGGTCTTCAGGTCTTCAGGGTAGCTCTTCAGGTCTTCAGGGTAGCTCTTCAGGTCTTCAGGGTAGCTCTTCAGGTCTTCAGGGTAGCTCTTCAGGTCTTCAGGGTAGCTCTTCAGGTCTTCAGGGTAGCTCTTCAGGTCTTCATGGTAGCTCTTCAGGTCTTCAGGTCTTCAGGGTAGCTCTTCAGGTCTTCAGGGTAGCTCTTCAGGTCTTCAGGTCTTCAGGGTGGCTCTTCAGGTCTTCAGGTCTTCAGGGTAGCTCTTCAGGTCTTCAGGGTAGCTCTTCAGGTCTTCAGGGTAGCTCTTCAGGTCTTCAGGTCTTCAGGGTAGCTCTTCAGGTCTTCAGGGTAGCTCTTCAGGTCTTCAGGGTAGCTCTTCAGGTCTTCAGGGTAGCTCTTCAGGTCTTCAGGGTAGCTCTTCAGGTCTTCAGGGTAGCTCTTCAGGTCTTCAGGGTAGCTCTTCAGGTCTTCAGGGTAGCTCTTCAGGTCTTCAGGGTAGCTCTTCAGGTCTTCAGGGTAGCTCTTCAGGTCTTCAGGGTAGCTCTTCAGGTCTTCAGGTCTTCAGGGTGGCTCTTCAGGTCTTCAGGTCTTCAAGGTAGCTCTTCAGGTCTTCAGGGTAGCTCTTCAGGTCTTCAGGTGGACGAGGACTGCCAGACCCGTTTAGGGGTCCGGCTTTTATCCCCGTTCCAGGGTCTCTCCGCCCCTAGCCACGCCTCCTTTCTGGAACTCTCTAGGGGGCCCTGGAATATCCCCCAGCCCCCCTCTTGGGGTCTGGGGACCCGAGTGGCCCAATTGCCCGGCTCATCCTATCGAGCCTGTCTACCACCCCCTGTTGACACATGTCTGCTACTACATGTAAGGATGAATGGGAATATACACAATGCCTAACCATGCTACTACATAAGCATCAAACTGGCAGTGTCATATTGAGGTTTGGCCCCCCTTGAGCGCCAACAATGACCTCCAGATTACGAGCAGCGCACTCGCCCCTGCTGGACATCTCCTCCAGTCTCAATACAGATTCATCACTCCGTCTCCTCGGCGGGCTCCCTCTCACAACTGTCCACCCACGTCGCTCCCTCCGTTTGTACGATCGACGGGGACACTCACTCTCAACGTGGGCGAAGGCGCAGAACGGACCACGTGGGCACAGCCCCATCTGCTGCATGTCGTTGCACTTGGTGGACTTGTAAATCTGCGCACACGCACGGAGGGCGGAGGTTTACGCCTTGGAGCTAGAGTTTTTTTTTTTTTATCACAGATGTCCTCCAGTAGGGGCGGCGGGTCAGAAGTTACAACAACAACAAACTCACAAAACGATAGGAGTGCAAAGTAGAGAATAGGCAACCTTGTCCTGGGAAATTAATTAATTAATTAAGACTACGAGTACAAACTGCACAAGTACATACATTTCTTATGAAATGAACACGTGCGTGTGTATGCACATGTGTGTGCGTACGTACGTGCACGCGCGTGCTTTGTAGGTGCGCGCGCGTACGTGTGCGCACGCGTGTTTGTACATCGTTGCCTTGTGTGCATGCGTGTGTACATGCGTGTGTACGTGTGTATGTACGCGTGCGTGCGTGCACGTGCGCGACCTCGGGGTGGAACTGCTGCTCCGTGCGCGTGTGGCAGTAGACGCAGGCGTCCTTGCTCTCGCACAGACTCGGCTCCCCCCACTCGTCCCCGTGCTTCACCTGCGGACAGGGGGTCGACCTGCACACACGCACACAAAGACAAAGATCCCCCACGTAGCCTTTAACAGGCTGTCAGGGCAAGTGCACGGCACAGGGGGGGCCGCCGTGCCGGGGAGGGGGCCGCCGTGCCGGGGAGGGGGCCGCCGCGAGGCCCGTCTCACCGGTACTTGTGCTGCCGGGGGCCGCGTCTCCGGTCGCGCTCGTTGTGAAAGTAGGGGCAAGCGTAGCCCTGGCGGCAGAGGCGCGGAGCGCGGCGACACGGCTCCGTCTTGTACCCTCCCAGCACGAAGTTCGTATCTGTACGCATGCGCAAAGAGAACAAACGCATGCACGTTAACATACACACATAAACACACGCGCACACACGCGCGCAAACGCGCGCAAACACGCGCTGTGCGCGCCACAGTGGACGTTGAGATCTCGCGACGTTGTCCGTAGCAGGGCAGGGCAAACGCCGCAGTCCGCAGTTGACCAACGACTTCGACTCCATTGCCCATTTTCTTCCTCGCTTCTCCACTCCGTCCCGTCCCTCTCCCCTGTAACCCTTTCGTGATCCCCACGTGCTCCTCTGTTATGGTCACTCGCTCCTCGGCCCTTGCACACTGCCCCCTGCCATTTAAATCACTCTCTTGTTGTTACCGCTCTTTAAACTTCGTGAGAGAAACGCATGGAGCTTGCTCAGGCGCTTTATAGGACTATAAAATAGAATCATTACTCAATTGGGGAAAACCACAGCGCAACGTCGTCCCCTACCGGCAGACTACCGCCCACCCGCAGGCTGCCGGCGCTGTGTTTACCATGGCCGCAGAAACAGCTGCCACCGGTGGGTGCCCCCTGGCCACAGGGCGCCTCGGGGTGTACCGCACGGGAGGTGCGGTACGCCCCGAGGATAATGACGACGACGGCGACGTTACCCCTGCCGCTCACCGTGCCAGCGCGGCTCCTCGGCCAGCACGCGCTCCATGGCGCTCTGCGTCGCGGTCATCTGCTGCGGGAGGTCGCTGGGGCTGGCGAGGCCGCTCCCCAGCACCTCCAGTGCCTGCAGCTCCCTGCAAGTGGGGGGCGGTGGGGGGGGGGGGGGGGGAGGGGCCGGCGGCACCACAGATTCAGAATATTTATTTAGACTGGAGGAGGAATCCGATGAGCTACGAAGCTCTTTTTCACGGAGTTTTAACCGCTCGCCCGTTATCAGCGGCGCTCGCTCATTCGTGTTGTTGTTGGTGGTGCATCGGTCGGTCAACCCCATGGCACCTGGTTCTGTCGCGTGACCTGCCAGTGGGCCTTCGGCACTTCACGTGGCCTTAAACTGCGCCTGGCCTGGCACAAGCGCCGTGGTGATGCCACCGCCACTTAGTGGCGAACGGCGGCCGGCCTCCTCGTGGTGGTCGCGGGCCCTCACCGGATGTCGTAGACGGGCGGCCTCAGGTCGGCCGTGCTGTGAGCGAAGGCGCAGTGGGGCCCGTTCTTTGTGCAGAGGCCGCGCGAGTCCGACGCGTGCACACACATGTTGGTCTTGTAGTAGCGCAGGTGGTACTTGCGCTCCGTGTCGCCCGACGTGCGGTGAAGCAGGGGGCACCTGCGAAGGTAAGGGAACCCCGGGTCACTCGCTCGGCACTCGACCGGAAACATCACGAGTAAGGTCGCCCCTTTTCAGCAGGCTAGGGTATGCAGGCTCGGGTCTGGACAACAGAATGACTTTAGGTCCACTACGACCAGTTCCAGCGACTCGTCTTATCCTCAGGGAATCACGAGCAACAAGATCAATTATCCCGCAGTTGTCACGGATCAATTTGGAGCTGCGGTTAATAGGGATCATGGTTAAGTCAGTCGGGGATAAGAGGAGTTTCCATACGACATGGAATTCAGTGCAAACTGCCGTGCGAGTTGGACTCGTGGGATCACCAGAGTGGGGCGGTCTCCACACTGAAAACTCGATACTCTTAATCATTCACACCGACACAACGCGGAGAAAAAAATACGTTCTTATCCTCAAAGCACCCCCAACCCTGGATACCTGCGGGGCCAGGTGTCGGGGCACGTTGGACGCATTTGCGCCCACAGTTTGTACCGCGATTGTTTTCCGTTTGTGTCACATTGCTCTCTGTATTTTGAACATCCCGCAGGCCTGAATTCCTCGAATGTTTTCAAAGTGGCAGCCAAAACTGGAAATTCAAGTCTTGCGTTGGACACAGCGGCAGCGACCCGCGCCGGTCCCCCCGATCGCGTTACCTAAGAGAGTGAATGACGCGGAAACGCAGCGACCGGCGCTCCCGACAGGAGGCCGTCGCGTCTCGTGCTATTACAGAGAGAAAAACTCACAAACCCAGCGGAGCCACGGGGCGTCTAAGTGAGGATCGTGGCGGTGACGTGGCTGAGCGGCGGTGCATTCGCCGATCGTTGCAGAGGGTTTGCCGTGTCCTGAGATGCGGCAAATTTTTGGTTCTGTTGAACCGGTGAAGGAACTCGTGCCCGGAAAGTTTAGACAAACAATGCAACTTCATACCGGTTTTATGAAATGCTGAAAATAAAGTCTGTTGGCACTTTTTGGCAAATTAAGGAAATACCCAGCGCAGCGCTCTTCAGGTTCTGCTGAAAAATTAAGAGGCAGCACATTTATGCCGAGTGCCGCGGGCACGTGACCACAAATCACTCCCTCGGCGCCAGAGGCCGCGGCGCTCGCAAGAAGAGGACGAGAACCGGCCGGGTGGCGCAGCTTTCGGCCGAACAGATCACAGACAAAATGCCGCAAGTTCAAATCCTGATTGCGGGTTTCACTCAGCCCATCGTGATTCCCGCCCTCTGGGCCTCGATAAACGAATAGTCTCACTCCCGCCATAGAAAGGTGGAATTTCCACTTTTGGCTCTGCAAGGCAGCACCGATGGCATCACCGACGTCCGAATGTAAATGTTTGCCACAAATCACTTTAGATTATTTTGGAGGGAGCCAAAAGCTTCCCCGAGTCCGTGTACGCGACACCGACTCAGGTGACCCATGCAAAAGGGGCTCGAAGTCTCGGGGGTGGTTCCCCCTCGGTTGCCGCTCGGTTGCCCCTCGGTTCCCTTGGGCCGAGGAGAGAGCGACCCCGCGACGACCCCTCTGAGCCACCAAACTCGCGACCACTCAGTCGGGGGAAGGCGCTCACAATCAAGATACCTTGCTTCATTGCAAGAGAGCGACTAACTGTGCAGTGAATGTTGCATTCACATTTCTATAATTGTTTTATATATAATAACTATCGAGGAAGAATATTTTTTTGTGAGACGTGAGATAAATTAGGTATTATGTGTCGTGTTAACCCTTAGCTACCAACGAGTTTTCAACCCCTTTACACAGTTTTATTATTTCTTTAGTTTTTATGTTTTTTTACATTTCCTCATTTCGTGCCATGCCTCACAAAAGCGCAAACAATAAATCTGACGTGCGTAACATGAATCGTTTATCACAAATCTCTTTCCTTGATTGCACAACTATTTAGTTTTACTATGCTGTTGTTGTTTTTTACCAGGTAAGGCCCACTGAGCTGTGTAGCTATTGTTTCAGAATCGACCTGGCCATCACAAATAATAGCTCACCGTAGTGGCTTATGTATCGCAACAGTCAAATACTCTCAACGCACGTTGATTGTCAACGTGCGTTGACGGCAGAGCCCTCGTCAGCCCGCCAGCTTTCCAGATTAATAGCATCCACTCGTTGATGCAAGCAAAGCCTAGATCGGCTTCAACCTTCCGTCCACATCAGCAGTCGGGCTTGTTAGACTATCCTGCTGGGTCGCCAGATGCTGTTGGCAAGAGCAACGAACATGATCATACACGAGCGCACCGTGCGTTGCCACGGAGCATTATGTAGTTCCAAGTTAGGTTCAGGGAGAGTCTCGTGTCCAAGAGCTGACCAGGTCTCCAAAGTGATGAAAGCAAAAAGAAATAAAAAAAAATAACGTGCACCAATGAACCAAATAAAAATCAGGACCTAAACAACTGCGGAATCGAAGATACTGGACAAACGTAAATCAACGTTTCATCAAAGTTGAGCATCAAACTCCCCGCTGCGTGAATGGGAGGAGCAGGAGACCGTGGCTCAGACATCGCCTCCGTCACGGCGTGCCGGGCCGGCTGGCCGTCGTCGCCCTGCACGTGCTGGAGGAGGCTGTCGCATGGCTCTGTGGCTACGTGTGGCTGATGTCAACTCACGTGACATCAACAGACGTGGTTATTTATTATTTATTTTTCTTGTGTATCTGGTGCTTTAACTCTGTACGAGTGTTAAAGCAACCGCGAAATAAATGTAATTCCCCGCAGCGCAAAAATTGGCAGACGGCCACCCCGGGGCCGATCACGGCAAAAAGGCCAAAAGGAAGGTCCGGCGACGTACCCAGGAGACAGCGTGGGGAGTCACGCGGTCAACTCTCTCACTTCCGTCCCGCTGCGTAGGATCAGGAAGCTGGCTGGGCAAATTTCGTTCCTCGTAAGCGAGTTCGCATTTCTCTATCGCCACCACCACCACCACGACTAAGGGAAAAGCGCACCACCCTCCCCACCGTGTTCTGCAGGCGAGCTGAAAACCACTTCCTTGTAGCAGAGCCCAGCGCCTGCCCGTCCGGCGGAAAGACCGTTTGGGAAAGACCCAAACGGTCTCCCCTGAACAAACCGTTCACGGAAAGAGGTTTTTATTTTCTTCATTCATCACGCACAGTTAGCGAAGGAGCGTTGCGCCAAGCGGTGTGACCTCTTGCGATGGGCATTCGCATTAACTGCTCTTGCTGCCATTTACCGATGTCGAGTGGGGGAGGGGGGGTCGCAGTCCACTTCAAACGTCGACCGCCATCTGACGCGAGTGCTATTTGCTGCCAGAGTTTGCACATCGAGGCCGCAGATTCAACGGTGACGTTTCTGATGACGTGCCGTGGGCCTCGCTATCAACGCTCAGCCGACCGTCGCGCATCGCGGGCACGAATCGTCGCTTCAAACGATTTTGTTTTGCTGCTGCTGCATGCAGCGAGCTGACAGAGCGTGCACTCAGAGCCAAGGACCCTGCGGTGCGTGAGACTGCAGCAGCAGGACGAGGAATCCGATGAGCTATGAAGCTTTTTTCACAGATGGCCAGTAGGAGCGGCGGGTAAGAAAGTTACAACAGCAGCAAACACCGAATAGAGAGTGCAAAGTATATGAAAGCAAAACAAGTCACTAAATTAATTTGCTTTATTTGAGTACAAAATTGCAAAAGTCCATCAGTGCAGCTCGGCGGGCCAGGGGCTGCACTGCCACTGGGAGGGACGAGCAAGGCCAGGATATGGGGGCCAAGGGAGGCTGTAGAGTCGCCCCTCGTGGAACTAAACTAAAATGTGTTTTATTTGACCAGGTAAGGCCCACTGAGCTATACAGCTCTTTTTCAGAATCCTGGCTATCACAAATGATAGTTCAAAGAAAAAGTGGCTTATCATCTTGTGGAAACTTATAGCGGCCAAATACTCGAGGCACACGTTGTTTCTAAGTGTGGAGGGAAAAACCGGAGGACTCGGCGAAAAATCCACGTGACCACCACGGGGAGAGAGAGAGGCACGCAAACTCCAAATATACAGCAGGTGTCAGGGTCGGGATCGAACCCACGATGAGGTAGAGTCAAAGTCCAAGCGTGCCGCTGCTCGTAAACGCCGGGGCAGCGCTCGTCTGCCTCCGTCGGTAGCCTCGCGGCACTCGAGGCCCTTCGGCAATGAATAATCAGATTCCGCTGATGCTTTACGGCCGGCGAGTATCACCGCGATCGGCAAAAGCTGAGCCAGGTCACACGGCAATCACGAGAGTCACGAGCTGGCGACGCCGAGTCAGACTTCCACTCGGCCACCGCGTGGTAAACGGTTTTTAGTGTTTCGTTTAATCGTCCATCCCCCGGCACCTCCCATGAGCACGGTTGGTTATGTACGGTGCGAAATAAGTTCCACACGTACGAACACACGTACGCACACACGCACGCACGCACGCACGTACGCACACTTGTATGCACGTACGCACACACGTACGCACGCACGTACGCACGTACGCACACACGCGTACGCACGCACGTACACGCAGGCACATGCACACACGTACGTACGCATGCACGTACACGCACGCACGCACGTACACGTACGTACACGCACGTCGCGCTGGCTCACCCGTCCCCGTTGGGGCAGGCCCCGGCCGTCTCGTCGTACTCGGTGCAGTACTCGTCGGGGCTGTAGCTGAAGGTGCCGTCGCGACGGCGCAGGGGCCGGCGCCTGCGCTGATTGGCGAAGTGCCAGTGGAAGCAGGTGTAGGGCCGGTGCTGCGTGCACTTGTGCTGCGTGAAGAGCGCGCACTGCTCCGTGCGGAAGTCGCGCAGGTACCTACACGCAGCACGCAGAACCGCGTTACGTGCGTGCGTACATACGTGTGCGCGTAGGTGGAACTTGTTTCGCACCGCACGTAGCCGACCGTGCTACGGGTGGCGGTGAAACGGTGAAGGGAAGGAACTGAATATACAGAGAGGGGAAAGCAACACTGCGAACAGCCCTGGGCCTCCGTCAAACCTAATTCGGCCCTGCACACAGCCCACAGGCCCACAGGATCACTGACACAGGCACACAACTCACAGGCACACAGGATCACTGACACAGGCACACAGGATCACTGACACAGGCACACAGGATCACTGTCACAGGCACACAGGATCAATGACACAGGCACACAGGATCACTGACACAGGCACACAGGATCACTGACACAGGCACACAGGATCACTGACACTGGCACACAACTCACAGGCCCACAGGATCACTGACACAGGCACACAGCTCACAGGCACACAGGATCACTGACACAGGCACACAGGATCACTGACACAGGCACACAACTCACAGGCACACAGGATCACTGACATAGGCACACAACTCACAGGCACACAGGATCACTGACACAGGCACATAACTCACAGGCACACAGGATCACTGACACAGGCACATAACTCACAGGCACACAGGATCAGTGACACAGGCACACAGGATCACTGACACAGGCACACAGGATCACTGACACAGGCACACAACTCACAGGCCCACAGGATCACACGGTGCCTGCCAATGATTGGTGTTTTTTATTTGGCTTAACCTTTGTATTTCTATTAGTTTTTGCTTCGACAGCAGGGCCATGAAGCGAAGGCTTCTGGCGATGGCCACGAGGGGTTCGCTGCGCTGGCAGACGTGGGAAGGCGAAAGCGGGGGATGACGACAGGAGAGCACAGGAGTATGGTACAACGGTGAGCTTGCCGCCCTGCCCCCTTGATAGCCACAGCACGTGTCCAGAGAGAAGAAGCACTGTGACTCACAGTGAGGAGAAGTGGAGTGGCTGTCAGGACAACATCACAAAACACTTCCTCGCAGTTCGATTGGGGAAACAGAGCCACCGGCGTCATACGCCAGCACTGAATGGTCCCGTCTAAGTATACGAGAGCTCAACAGAGACCAAGTCTATCGGCATGTTGCCTAAATAACCCTTCAGACATTGCACAGTCTGTCTAAAGACACCATCATGAACGTTCATTTACCACACTATAGTAAATATTTACATGTTTTGAGTGAATAAAGCTGTACCAATAAATGACTGTGACGTAGTGTGCTTTGTTGTAAAAAAAACTGCCAATCTTAATATCTGTAAGCTTCCACTGATATTTAGTTTCACGAAATTCACGTGCAGTGGGTGAGCCGCGTTGTTTGGAAGTCGCGGGAAGGAACCACACCACCACCGTGGGCTCCGCAGAACGGTTCCACAAACACACGGAGCAAGAGGAAGCTTGAAACGGCGCACTCAGCGGGCTGGTCGAGCGGAGTACCAGTCTGGAGCTAACGAGACGGGCTGGAGCTAGCGGTGGAGCTGGAGATAGAGGTGGAACTGGAGCAAGAGGTGGAGCTGGAGCTAGAGGTGGAGCTGGAGCTAGAGGTGGAGCTGGAGCTAAAGGTGGAGCTGGAGCTGGAACTGGTGCTAGAGGTGGAACTGGTGCTAGAGGTGGAGCTAGAGGTGGAGCTAGAGGGGGAGTTGGAGCTAGAGGTGGAGCTGGAGTTGGAGATGGAGCTAGAGGTGGTGCTGGAGTTGGAGCTGGAGCTAGAGGTGGAGTTGGAGGTGGAGCTGGAGCTAGAGTTGGAGCTGGAGCTAGACGTGGAGCTGGAGTTGGAGCTGGGGCTAGAGGTGGAACTGGAGTTGGAGGTTAAGCTGGAGCTGGAGCTAGAGGCGGAGCTAGAGGTGTAGCGAGAGATGGAGCTGGAATTGGAGGTGGAACTGGGGTTAGAGGTGGAGCTGGTGCTAGAGGTGGAGCTGGAACTAGAGGTGGAGCTGGAGCTAGCGGTGGAGCTGGAGCTAGAGGTGGAGCTAGAGGTGGAGCTAGAGGTGGAACTAGCGGTGGAACTGGAACTAGAGGTGGAGCTAGAGGTGGAGCTGGAGCTAGAGGTGGAGCTGGAGTTGGAGCTGGAGCTAGAGGTGGAGCTATAGGTAGAACTGGAGCTAGAGGTGGAGCTGGAACTAGATGTGGAGCTGGAGTTGGAGCTAGAGGTGGAACTGGAACTAGAGGTGGAGCTGGAACTAGAGGTGGAGCTGGAGGTGGACTAGAGGTGGAGTTGGAGGTGCAGCTAGATCTAGAGGTGGAGTTGGAGCTGGAGTTGGAGCTAGAGGTGGAGCTAGAGGTGGAGCTAGAGGTGGAGCTGAAACTAGAGGTGGAGTTAAACCTAGAGGTGGAGCTGGAACTAGATTTGGAGTTGAAGCTGGAGCTGGAGCTGGAGCTAGAGGTGGAGCTGGACCTAGAGTTGGAGTTGGAGCTGGAACTAGAGGTGGAGCTAGAGGTGGAGCTGGTTGGAGCTAGAGTTGGAGCTGGAACTAGAGGTGGAGCTCGAACTAGAGGTAGAGTTAGAGGTGGAGCTGGAGCTAGAGGTGGAGCTGGAGCTGGAGCTAGAGCTAGAGGTGGAGCTAGAGGTAGAGCTGGAGTTGGAGGTGAAGCTGGAGTTAGAGGTGGAACTAGAGGTGCAACTGGAGCTAGAGGTAGAACTGGAGCTAGAGGTGGAGCTGGAACTGGAGGTGGAGCTGGAGCTAGCGGTGGAACTGAAACTAGAGGTGGAGCTGGAACTAGAGGTGGAGCTGGAACTAGAGGTGGAGCTGGAGTTGGAGCTAGAAGTGGAGCTGGAACTAGAGGTGGAGCTGGAACTAGAGGTGGAGCTGGAGCTAGAGGTGGAACTGGAACTAGAGCTGGAACTAGGGCTGGAACTAGAGATGGAACTGGAACTAGAGGTGGAGCTGGAGTTGGAGCTAGAGGAGCTAGAACTATAGGTGGAGCTGGAGTTGGAGCTAGAGGTGGAGCTAGAACTAAAGGTGGAGCTGGAGCTAGCGGTGGAACTGGAACTAGAGGTGGAGCTGGAACTAGAGGTGGAGCTGGAGCTAGACGTGGAGTTGGAGGTGGAGCTGGAGTTGGAGCTAGAGGTCGAGCTGGAACTAGAGGTGGAGCTGGACCTAGAGTTGAAGGTGGAGCTGGAGTTGGAGCTGGAACTAGAGGTGGAGTTGGAACTAGAGGTGGAGCTGGAACTAGAGGTGGAGCTGGAGTTGGACCTGGAACGAGAGGTGGAGCTGGAACTAGAGGTGGAGCTGGAGTTGGACCTGGAACTAGAGGTGGAGCTGGAACTAGAGGTGGAGCTGGAGTTGGACCTGGAACTAGAGGTGGAGCTGGAACTAGAGGTGGAGCTGGAGCTAGAGCTGTAGCTAAAGGTGGAGGAAAAGGTGGAGCTGGAGCTCGAAGTGGATCTGGAGCTAGAGGTGGAGCTGAAGCTCGGGCTGGAGGTGGCTCCAACGAGCAAACAGGTGCGGAGGTGAGAGAGGGTGGCAGGAGAGCCCCGTGGTGGCACGGCCCGGTTACAATCACAATCTGTATTTAGACTGCAGCAGCAGGAGAAAGAATCCGATGAGCTATGGAACTCTTTATTGCGGGTAGTCATAAAGTTACAACTCCAACGAACGATAGGAGTACAACGTGGAGGAAAACTAAGCAAGTCGCTTCAAATAAATAAACACGAATCAAGTGTGTGAGCACAAAGTGCATAAAGTCCTGCCGATGTTTAAAAACTAAGTGTAATCTTCTTTGGTTCTTTCGGTAAAGTCACGTAGAATGAGAATAAAATAATAAATTGATAAAATAAAATAACACAATAATATTCTCACGACGTTTCGGCCACAACACAAGCGGCCTTCATCAGGTGAAGGGACGAGACTGTCTGGTAGGACAGCGCCAGAGTGAAAAAGCCACGCTCAAATCACGACCTTTAAGCTGTGTGAGAGGAAACAAAGCGCCTTGACAAAGGAATTAGCATAGAATTTAGCATTGAAATGGCTGAGTGATTAGCTTGTGACTGGTCACAGAAATGGCTATGTTAAAAGTTAAAGCATACACATCCGCAGAGGCACCCCTTGACAAAGGAATTAGCATAGAATTTAGCATTGAAATAGCTAAGTTAAAGCATACACATCCGCAGAGGCACCCCTTGACAAAGGAATTAGCATAGAATTTTAGCATTGAAATAGCTGAGTGATTAGCTTGTAACTGGTCACAGAAATAGCTATGTTAAAGTCAGAGCATACACATTCACCGAGGCACCTAGTACAAATCAAACAGGAGAATTTAGCATTGAAATAACTAGGCGAATTTAGCATTGAAATAACTGAGTGATTAGCTAGTGACTGGTCACAGAAATGGCTATGTTGAAGTCAAGGCCTACACATCTGAGCTATTCACAGTAACTGGGTATACAATACAAAATATAATGAATACTATATAGTGAACCAATAAAAAACTAAAATATAAATTACCTTAATGTTTTAGTTTTTTATTGGTTCACTATATAGTATTCATTATATATTGTATTGTATACCCAGTTACTGTGAATAGCTCAGATGTGTAGGCCTTGACTTCAACATAGCTATTTCTGTGACCAGTCACTAGCTAATCACTCAGTTATTTCAATGCTAAATTCGCCTAGTTATTTCAATGCTAAATTCTCCTGTTTAATTTGTACTAGGTGCCTCGGTGAATGTGTATGCTCTGACTTTAACATAGCTATTTCTGTGACCAGTTACAAGCTAATCACTCAGCTATTTCAATGCTAAATTCTATGCTAATTCCTTTGTCAAGGGGTGCCTCTGCGGATATGTGTATGCTTTAACTTTTAACATAGCCATTTCTGTGACCAGTCACAAGCTAATCACTCAGCCATTTCAATGCTAAATTATATGCTAATTCCTTTGTCAAGGCGCTTTGTTTCCTCTCACACAGCTTAAAGGTCGTGATTTGAGCGTGGCTTTTTCACTCCAGCGCTGTCCTACCAGACAGTCTCGTCCCTTCACCTGATGAAGGCCGCTTGTGTTGTGGCCGAAACGTCGTGAGAATATTATTGTGTTATTTTATTTTATCAATTTATTATTTTATTCTCATTCTACGTGACTTTACCGAAAGAACCAAAGAAGATGAATCATTGCAGTCACGAAAGCTTTAAATCGAAACTAAGTGTAAGCTTAGGGCAAGGCAGTAAAAAAACAACAGTCCCAGACCACACCAAGACAACAACAACAACAGTCCCAGACCACACCAAGACAACAACATACAGCAGTCTCTCAATACAATTCCACGTTAACAATGAACTATTGATGATATATGGGGGAGGTAACTATCCAAGTTGCAAACCACATTTGCAAACCTGGCTATAATCCAGCATGGAATGAGAGGCTACATCTCGACTTCACTCTGGGTTTGTCCGTGGCTGGATTACCCATGTTGCGGACTGAACGCATACACAAAGCAGCCAAAGAAGAAGACGAAGAAGCAGCATTCTGGAGGCGCGTCCCTCGCCAGGAGCCCCGCTGCCATCCCACGTGGGACCCCCACCTGGGACCCCGCGTGGGACCCCCACCTGGGACCCTGCGTGGGACCCCCACCTGGAACCCCACGTGGGACCCCGCGTGGGACCCCCACCTGCCATCCCACGTGGGACCCCCACCTGGGACCCCGCGTGGGATCCCCACTGCCACCCCACGCGTGGGTCAATTACGTCGAGCAAGTTCAAATGAAGAGGGGCGGGCTGGTGTGATAGGCCCTCAACCACATTCCACGCGGGCACAACACAGCTGCACGGTGCCCTTGTGGAGCCTGATTTACACGCGTGCTGCATCGTCCGTGATTTCACTTAATCCGGACCCCCCCTTTACCCCATTAAAACGAATAAACGAGAGTGACAGAACTCCAGGTGCCATATTGCGCCTGGAGCTACCCACCGCACACGGAGCGTGGCAGGCCACAGGCGCGAGCCAGCTGCTGCCGCAGCAGAGCGACATTAAACATCGAAGTATTACACCTTTTACGGATTCAATTGGCCAAAAATAAACATGTTCTCGCCACGCGCATAGATCCTGACAAGTTTTGTCCTGGGCAGCGCATTAAATCAGCCGCGATCGCTGTCGGGATAAGAATTCGTTTGCATGTTTGGGAAGATTTCTCGTGTTGCGTGGCTTTCTTCTCCAGGTTTTTTTGGGCAACTCTCTGGGCGCTCTGGCTAGTGGCACAACTTTACCGTGAGCCCCCCATTACAGACAGACGGACAAATACGATGCGTTAAAACCGTTGTCCGTATTGCAGAAGCGCGTCGATACGTGGCGCATTCCGGGATTTCTCGCACCTCCGATTAGCGCGGTTGGCTACGTACGGTGCGAAACAAGTTCAACACAGATCGCTAAGGTCTAAAAATAATTCTGATTTCGGTGTAAACATAAAATAGCAGCTTGTCTTGTGCAACAGAGCGTGGGAGACTGGTTTACGACCCCAATGACTTGTAAATAACTCCAAATTAGTACAGCATGCCCGGGGGTATGCAGCTCAGTCAAGACAGAAACATGGCAAGAAGCGCATGCACACACAGCGTGGTGAGCAGCACACAGACACACACAGTGTGGTGAGCAGCACACAGACACACACAGCGTGGTGAGCAGCACACAGACACATACAGACACATACAGTGTGGTGAGCAGCACACAGACACACACAGTGTGGTGAGCAGCACACAGACACACACAGTGTGGTGAGCAGCACACAGACACACATAGTGTGGTGAGCAGCACACAGACACACACAGCGTGGTGAGCAGCACACAGACACACACAGCGTGGTGAGCAGCACACAGACACACATAGTGTGGTGAGCAGCACACAGACACAGCGTGGTGAGCAGCACACAGACACACACAGCGTGGTGAGCAGCACATAGACACACACAGTGTGGTGAGCAGCACACAGACACACACAGCGTGGTGAGCAGCACACAGACACACACAGCGTGGTGAGCAGCACACAGACACACACAGTGTGGTGAGCAGCACACAGACACACACAGTGTGGTGAGCAGCACACAGACACACACAGCGTGGTGAGCAGCACACAGACACACACAGCATGGTGAGCAGCACACAGATACACACAGTGTGGTGAGCAGCACACAGACACACACAGCGTGGTGAGCAGCACACAGACACAAACAGCGTGGTGAGCAGCACACAGACACACACAGTGTGGTGAGCAGCACACAGACACACACAGCGTGGTGAGCAGCACACAGACACACACAGTGTGGTGAGCAGCACACAGACACACACAGTGTGGTGAGCAGCACACAGACACAGAGTGTAGTGAGCAGCACACAGACACACACAGTGTGGTGAGCAGCACACAAACACACAGTGTGGTGAGCAGCACACAGAGACACACAGCGTGGTGAGCAGCACACAGACACATAGTGTGGTGAGCAGCACACAGACACACACAGTGTGGTGAGCAGCACACAGACACACACAGTGTGGTGAGCAGCACACAGACACACACAGTGTGGTGAGCAGCACACAGACACACACAGTGTGGTGAGCAGCACACAGACACACACAGACACACACAGCGTGGTGAGCAGCACACAGACACACACACAGCGTGGTGAGCAGCACACAGACACATACAGACACACACAGCGTGGTGAGCAGCACACAGACACACACAGCGTGGTGAGCAGCACAAAAGACACACACACACAGACAAACACAGTGTGGTGAACAGCACATAGACACACACAGACACACACAGACACACACAGCGTGGTGAGCAGCACACAGACACACACAGACACACACAGCGTGGTGAGCAGCACACAGACACACACAGCGTGGTGAGCAGCACACAGACACACACAGCGTGGTGAGCAGCATACAGGCACACAGTGTGGTGAGCAGCACACAGACACACACACAGACACACACACAGACACAAACACACAGACACACACACACACAGACACACACAGCGTGGTGAGCAGCACACAGACACACACAGACACACACACAGACACACACACAGACACACACACACAGACACACACACAGACACACACACAGACACACACACAGACACACACACAGACACACACAGCGTGGTGAGCAGCACACAGACACACACACAGACACACACACAGACACACATACAGACACACACACAGACACACACACACAGACACACACACACAGACACACAGACACACACACACACAGACACACACACACACAGCGTGGCGTGGCGTGGCGGTAACGCACGTGTAGTGGTGCGGCTTCTCGGTGCTGGCCACCGCGGGCGCGTCGCTGCACGCGGACGGCATCGCCGGCGTTACTGGCGACTCACGGGGCCGGGCCGCTCGCGGTGACCGCGCCGTGCCCCCTCATTGGCCGGGGTTGGTGGCTCACCGACGTCATCCGCCCAGGCTGTGCCGGGAGCTGGCCCTGGATGTGCAAGGACAAAGATAAAGACAATGATTACCTACCCCGGTATAGCCTTAACAGGCTGTTGGGGCAAGTGCTGATAGCTAGCAGCACCTGTGAAGGCCGGCACTGTAGCACACGAGGGGGTGGGTGGCCAGCACCACGCCCGGCCGTCTTTGTTTCCTGAGTGGCGATATTTACTACACACCGCGCCAGGTGCTCGTTTGAGGCTGAGTCGACCTAGGGGAGGCCCAGGTCAGGTTCCGATAATCGTCACCGGTGTTGGTGACCGTGAGCGGGAATCGAACTCGGGTCGCCGGGTTCCGTAGCGCAGCGTGGCGCTGACCGCTGCCCCACCGCTCCCCACCAGGCAAGGGCGGACACGGCCACACAAGTCGGAAGTTCATTTCTCGACAATGTTTTCCGGAGCACAGTCCCAGACAGCTCCAAACGATATATTGCATGTCGACTGATGATGATTGTTTGCATTTGTAAAGCGGCGCGTGTCATCCGTAGACACCCCCACAATGCGCGTGGCCACCACCGTGTTGTGGAGAGCGGGAGACAAGCAGCAGGGGAGAGCTGCAGCAGGGGGGAGCTGCAGCAGGGGGGGAGCTGCAGCAGGGGGAGCTGCAGCAGGGGGGGAGCTGCAGCAGGGGGATCTGCAGCAAGGGGGGAGCTGCAGCAGGGGGGAGCTGCAGCAGGGGGGGGGATCTGCAGCAGGGGGGGAGCTGCAGCAGCAGGGGGGGAGCTGCAGCAGCAGGGGGGGAGCTGCAGCAGCAGGGGGGGAGCTGCAGCAGGGGGGGGAGCTGCAGCAGGGGGAAGCTGCAGCAGGGGGGAGCTGCACTCGGGGCTGGAGGCAACTTGACGCAGGGCAGTTTTACAGCGATAGCTCCATATGCGTTCATTCGATAAAAAAATACTTTGGATTTTGTTGAACATTATTTTACACAGAAAGCTAAAGCTAAATAATAAATGCGCTGACATTTATAAACAATCAATAAATTGATCTGCCAGACTATAAGTAAGAATAAAATAACGTGTGTTAACTTTGTTTAATGTCAGTTTATTTGAATAGTGTACAGTATAAAACAAAAAATAAAAATTCAATATAAATTGAATGGTTAGTTATGAAATGTTTATCGTGTTAAACGGTGAGTTACAAAGGCTGGCAACGCATCCTCATCGTACTAATGTGATATGTTAATCACTATGCGAAGTTTCCATACAGGATCGAAGCTCCAGGAACGAGGTGAGCCCTGCAGGAACAGAGCCGTGACGTCAGGAGTACTTAGAAGACGGCGATCCGAAGATCTGGGAGAACTCGTTTGTACGGTTGGCTTCATACGGTGCGAAAGAAGTCCAACATTCATGCATGGTGTATGAAGATGGATCCGTTCCTGTAAGTACTGCGAGGCTAACCCACTGAGTGCCTTGCAGGTCAGCAGCAGCAGCAGGATCTTAGTCCACTCGGTACATGACTGGTGGCCAGTGCAGACAGTGCCCAGCTGTGTGATGTGTGCCGTGGGACAGTGACACGGACGGGACATTGTTGGGCTGTGGCATCGCCCGCCTGTAGCCTGCTCGATGAAGAAGTTCACGGTTTCGAAAGGCAGAGACCACCCTGACCGCGACTGCGAGCTTGGTGAACCGTGGTGATGAGTGATGACCCGTGGTGATGAGTGATGACCCGTGGTGATGCTAGGCCATTGCGTGCTGGTGTCACGGTCCAAATTTGTCCAACACCTGGGTAGTAATAGTAGTAGTGGGTGGAGGAGGCTTTCGCGACCAACATCATCCATAATAGAGGGGGTTTTTTGGGGTTAGATCGCGTAAATATATACATCTGCCGTTTAACTCGCCACCACCCGACACAGCCAATTAGTAAGGTTTGTCACGTAAACAAAACGTGTCTATTCGTGACCAGTTCAACACATCCGTTGTGTGTTGGAGAGCAAACCTGCTACAACATTTACCATCTTTTTTACAAAACTGGGGAAAATTTACTCTGCAAACTCCTCAACTGGGGTCTCACACGGACACACGCAGCAGCAGCCATCGCTCGCTACTGGCATCAGACGCATGACACGCGTCCTGTAAACATGCCCAGCGTTCGGCCAACATGTTGCACGCTCACCATCACTCAGACGAGACTCTCTCGAGTTCTCTCTCCCCCGGGCGCACGACGTGAACCTGCAAGTCCGTGACCAGGCGGGATCGCCAGAACCACGGCGCTCTTAGCGGCAACCACAATCCTCCAACGTGCTCGCAAGTCTGGCGAATTGTCTCATCAACATTATCATCATCATCTCTTCTTAACCCGCACACTTCAAAACAACCCCGTGGTGTGTGCGTGACTGCGTATGCACCCACGCGTGTGAGACTGTGCATGATGGGTGTGTGTTTGTGACTTGTTGTGAGTCAGTGTGAGTATGTGATAAACTGTGAAACTAACTGTGTGTGTGTACCTATGTGTGCGTGAGTGACTTTGTGGGTATCTGTGTCTGTGTGCCGTTCAAAACCTTCATAGGTGCTCGCTAACAGCACTTGCCCCAACATCTGTTAAGCCCAACATCTTTGTGCGAGTGTGTAAGACTGTGTGAGTCTGTGTGACTAAGTGTGTGTGAGTGTGTGTGAGTCTGTGGTTTCAGGAAAGGGCGGTCCTGCACAGATGCCGTATTTTCTGTCCGTCTGCTACAGCAGAGGTGTAGGGATTCCAGCAAGACCTACATCTCTGCTTTATTGACCTGGTCAAGGCCTATGATACCATCAATAGGCCTGGGCTCTGGGTTGTTCTTCGTGCTTTTGGAGTACCTGACCCTCTGCTCACGATCATTAAGGACCTTCATGATGGTGAGCAGGCCCGGGTAAAACTACGTGGCCGGGAGTCCGAGCCTTTCCTTGTACACTTCGGGGTGCGACAGGGATGTCCTCTGGCTCCCACATTATTTAACATCTATTTCGACCACGTAGTTCGTGAAGCCTTCAATAGCTGTACCGGGGGAATCTCCATATGGTACAGATATAATGGGAGGCTGATCGATGCCAGGGTGCGGTCAAGGGATGGCTCCCTATTGCTCAACCACGTTATGTATGCTGATGATTTGGTAATAGCTGCTCATTCAGAGGAGGAGTTGGAGACGCTGCTGCTGAGACTGGAGCGTGCTACTAAGAGATGGGGCCTTACCATCAGCCCCACCAAAACTAAGCACCTGCCTGGGTATTTTGTACCATCTGACACTCCACCCCCACAACTCCCAATCGGTGATGGGGCAGTTGTGGAGAGTGGAGAGTTTCCCATACCTGGGAAGTGTGCTTATGACCGGCTCCAGTTTAACAGCAGAGGTCTCACTCCGAATCAGTCGAGCGGCAATATCTTTTCATCGGTTGCGTAACGCTGTGTGGAAGCTACCTGGTCTGTCGCTCCGCACTAAGCTTCAGGTCTTCTCGGCCACGGTCATTCCCTCCCTTTTCTATGCTTGCGAAACGTGGACCCCCCTAATGGAACATCTTCGCCGGTTAGAAACATTTAGGCTAGCCTGCCTACGATCCATCCTGGGTTTAACCAGGCTGGATTGTGTGAGGAGCTCACAAATCCTTAAAAGATCTGGGCAAGGTCCCATCAGTGAGCTCCTCCGGCAGGCAAGGCTGCGTTGGCTGGGTCATGTAGCCCGCATGCCCAGCCACCGCATGCCGAAACAGCTTTTGTTCGGCCGGATTGAGGGGGCTAAACGGGCGCGGCACGGGCTAGAGAAGAGATGGAGTGATGTGGTACAGGAGGACGTGGAGCTGAGTGGACTTGCCGATGACTGGTACCAGCGGTGTCAAGATCGGCCTCTGTGGAGGAGGCTCGTGAAGGACTCTACTGGGCAGTTGGAGGTAGTCGCCCTCCAACAACAACGGAGGGCGGAGGAGCGACGCTCACAACAACGAGCGGAGCGCCGGGTGGCTAAAGCACAGCAGGTTGGCACAGTAGGGGGCACAGGTGGTGCATCAGCCAGTCATCTCAGTCAGTCGACCCGTGGCACCTGGGTCTGCCCCGTGACCTCCTGCCAGCGGGCGTTCGACACTCCACGTGGCCTCAAGGTGCACATGTCCTGGCACAAGCGTCGTGGTGACGTCACCGCCACTTAGTGGCGAATGGCGGTTGTTGTTGTGTGTGTGATACTGTTAGCGTGACACTGTGAGTCTTTGAGTGTGTGTGTGACACTGTGAGTGTGACACTGTGAGTGTGTGTGTGATACTGTGTGTGATACTGTGTGTGTGACACTGTGAGTGTGACACTGAGTGTGTGTGATACTGTGAGTATGTGTATGAGACTGTGAATCTGTGTGTGAGACTGTGAGTCTGTGTGTGTGTCTGTGTGTGACACTGTGAGTGTGGCACTGTGAGTCTGTGTGAGTCTGTGTGACACTGTGAGTGTGACAATGAGTGTGTGTGTGAGACTGTAAGTCTGTGTGTGAGACTGAGTCTGTGTGTGACACTGTGTGTGAGTCTGTGAGTGTGTGTGTCACACTGTGAGTGTGACACTGAGTGTGTGTGTGTGACACTGTGTGACACTGAGTGTGTGTGTGTGAGTCTGTGTGTGTGACACTGTGAGTCTGTGTGTGACACTGTGAGTCTGTGTGAGTGTGTGTGACCCTGTGAGTGTGACACTGAGTGTGTGTGTGACACTGTGAGTCTGTGTGTGACAGAGTGTGTGTGTGTGACACTGAGTGTGTGTGTGTGTGACACTGTGAGTGTGATACTGAGTGTGTGTGTGACACTGTGAGTCTGTGTGTGACACTGAGTCTGTGTGTGAAAGAGTGTGTGTGTGACACTGTGAGTCTGTGTGAGTGTGTGTGTGACACTGTGAGTGTGGCACTCTGTGTGTGTGACACTGTAAGTGTGACACTGAGTCTGTGTATGACACTGTGAGTCTGTGTGTGACACTGTGAGTCTGTGTGAGTGTGTGTCTGGCACTGTGTGACACTGAGTGTGAGTGTGACACTGTGAGTGTGTGTATGATACTGTGAGTCTGTGTGAGTGTGTGTGTGTGTGACACTGTGAGTGTGACACTGAGTGTGTGTGACACTGTGAGTGTGTGTGTGTGACACTGTGAGTCTGTGTGAGTGTGTGAGTGTGTGTGTGTGACACTGTGAGTGTCTTGCCCCTACAGTCTGTTAAGGCTATATGGGGGAGCTTTGTCTTCGTGTAACACTGAGTATGTGTGTGACACTGAGTGTGTGTGTGTGACACCGTGAGTGTGACACTGAGTGTGTGTGTGTGACACTGTGAGTGTATGTGTGTGACACTGTGTGTGTGTTTGTGACACTGTGAGTCTGTGTGTGTGACACTGAGTGTGTGTGTGACACTGTGAGTGTGTGTGTGTTTTGTGTAGTGGGGAGCGATAGTGTAGCGGTTAGCGCGCTGCGCTATGAACCTGGCGACCCGGGTTCGATTCCCGCTCACGGCCAACACCAGTGACGATTATCTGAACCGGTCCCGGGCCTCCCCTAGGTCGACTCAGCCTCAAATGAGTACCTGGTGCGGTGTGTAAACATTGCCACTAGGGAGACAAAGGCGGTCGGGCGTGGTGCTGGCCACCCACCCCCTCGTGTACCGTTCCGGCCTTCATAGGTGCTCGCTAACACCACTTGCCCCTACAGTCTGTTAAGGCTATATGGGGGATCTTTGTCTTGTTTTTGTGTGTGTGACACTGTGAGTCTGTGTGAGTGTGTGAGTGTGTGTGTGACACTGTGACTTGCCCCTACAGTCTGTTAAGGCTATATGGGGGATCTTTGTCTTCGTGTGACACTGAGTGTGTGTGTGACACTGAGTGTGTGTGTGTGTGACACTGTGAGTCTGTGCGTGACACTGTGAGTCTGTGTGTGACAGAGTGTGTGTGTGACACTGTGAGTCTGTGTGAGTGTGTGTGACACTGTGAGTGTGGCACTCTGTGTGTGTGACACTGTGAGTCTGTGTGAGTGTGTGTGTGACACTGTGAGTGTGACACTGAGTGTGTGTGACACTGTGAGTCTGTGTGAGTGTGTGTGTGACACTGTGAGTGTGACACTGAGTGTGTGTGTGACACTGTGAGTGTGTGTGTGACACTGTGAGTGTGTGTGTGACACTGTGAGTGTGTGTGTGAGACACTGTGAGTGTGACACTGAGTGTGTGTGACACTGTGAGTCTGTGTGAGTGTGTGTGTGACACTGTGAGTGTGACACTGAGTGTGTGACACTGAGTGTGTGTGTGTGACACTGTGTGTGTGAGTGTGTGTGTGTGACACTGTGAGTGTGTGTGTGACACTGTGAGTGTGTGTGTGACACTGTGAGTGTGTGTGTGACACTGTGAGTGTGACACTGAGTGTGTGTGTGACACTGAGTGTGTGTGTGACACTGTGTTTGTGAGTGTGTGTGTGACACTGTGAGTGTGTGTGTGACACTGTGAGTGTGACACTGAGTGTGTGTGTGACACTGTGTGTGTGTGACACTGTGTGTGTGTGACACTGTGTGTGTGTGACACTGTGTGTGTGTGACGCTGTGTGTGTGACGCCTTGACCGCTACTCACTTCACCAAGGGAAGTTCAGCAGCAGCAGACGAGGAGGAGGCGGCTGGAAGCGACGACTCGCGGCTGGCTACACTCAGCTGTAGCCCAGCTATGGGAGGCTGCTATCCTAGGCTACGGACCATACTGCGAGGCTATGATGGAACACGCTGCTGTACATACAGTCCGTGTCAGCAATGCGAAAACAGTGCGCCATGCTATGATGCAGCTGCCTATAAGCTGTAATAGGGGACAGCTTAAGCTCGGCTATGTGAGGCTGCGCCCGATATCCTGTGCTAGGCTGCAGGGCTGTCCGTCCATAGGCTATGATGAGGCGACATCCAGGCAGGCTGTGCCCAGCTACTGACTGCGCTGCCGCTGCTGTGCACGACGCTCGTGTAGGCTGTAGCTTGCGCAGTCCTAGTTTTCTCTACTGAAGTCTACACCGCTACAGCCTCACTATAAAACTATTGTTGTGCTGTAGTCTGTGAGTCTGTGTAGTCTACCCTGCTGGAGTCTACCCTGCTGGAGTCACCCCCGCTGTAGACCACCCCCGCTGTAGTCCACCAGGAGCATCTTCCTCCTCCTCCTCGTCTCGCGTGGCGCAGTGGGGAGGCACGCGGAAGTGTGAGCCCGAGGGTGTGTGTGTTGGTGTGTGTCGGTGTGTGTGTCGGTGTGTGTGTGTGTGTAGGGGTGTGTGTGTTGGTGTGTGTCGGTGTGTGTGTGTCGGTGTGTGTGTGTCGGTGTGTGTGTTGGTGTGTGTGTCGGTGTGTGTGTGTAGGAGTGTGTGTGTCGGTGTGTGTGTGTGTAGGGGGGTGTGTGTGTCGGTGTGTGTGTGTCGATGTGTGTGTGTGTCGGTGTGTGTGTAGGGGTGTGTGTGTGTGTCGATGTGTGTGTGTAGGGGTGTGTGTGTGTCGGTGTGTGTGTCGGTGTGTCTGTGTCGGTGTGTGTGTGTCGGGGTGTGTGTGTGTCAGTGTGTGTGTAGGGGTTTGTGTGTGTGTGTAGGGGAGTGTGTCAGTGTGTGTGTGTAGGGGTGTGTGTCGGGGTGTGTGTGTCGGTGTGTGTGTCAGTGTGGCCTGGCACAAGCGTCGTGGTGACGTCACCGCCACTTAGTGGCGAATGGCGGTTGTTGTTGTGTCAGTGCGTGTGTCGGTGTGTGTGTGTAGACCTACATCTCTGCTTTATTGACCTGGTCAAGGCCTATGACACCATCAATAGGCCTGGCCTCTGGGTTGTTCTTCGTGCTTTTGGAGTCCCTGACCCTCTGCTAACGATCATTAAGGACCTTAATGATGGTGAGCGGGCCCGGGTAAAACTACGTGGCCGGGAGTCAGAGCCATTCCCTGTACACCTTGGGGTGCGACAGGGATGTCCTCTGGCTCCCACATTACTTAACATCTATTTTTACCACGTAGTTCGTGAAGCCTTCAATAGCTGTACCGGGGGAATCTCCATATGGTACAGATATAATGGGAGGCTGATCGATGCCCGGGTGCGGTCAAGGGATGGCTCCCTATTGCTCAACCACGTTATGTATGCCGATGATTTGGTAATAGCTGCTCATTCAGAGGAGGAGTTGGAGATGCTACTGCTGAGACTGGAACGTGCCACTAAGAGATGGGGCCTTACCATCAGTCTCACCAAAACTAAGCACCTGCCTGGGTATTTTGTACCATCGGACACTCCACCCCCCACACCTCCCAATCGGTGATGGGGCAGTTGTCGAGAGAGTGGAGAGTTTCCCATACCTGGGCAGTGTGCTTATGACCGGTTCCAGTTTAACAGCAGAGGTCTCACTCCGAATCAGTCGAGCGGCAATATCTTTTCATCGGTTGCGTAACGCTGTGTGGAAGCTACCTGGTCTGTCGCTCCGCACTAAGCTTCAGGTCTTCTCGGCCACGGTCATTCCCTCCCTTCTCTACGCTTGCGAAACGTGGACCCCCCTAATGGAACATCTTCGCCGGTTAGAAACATTTAGGCTAGCCTGCCTACGATCCATCTTGGGTTTAACCAGGCTGGATTGTGTGAGGAGCTCACAAATCCTTGAAAGATCTGGGCAAGGTCCCATCAGTGAGCTCCTCCGGCAGGCAAGGCTGCGTTGGCTGGGTCATGTAGCCCGCATGCCCAGCCACCGCATGCCGAAACAGCTTTTGTTCGGCCAAATCGAGGGGGCTAAACGGGCGGGACACGGGCTAGAGAAGAGATGGAGTGACAGTACAGGAGGACGTGGAGCTGAGTGGACTTGCCGATGACTGGTACCAGCGGTGTCAAGATCGGCCTCTGTGGAGGAGGCTTGTGAAGGATGCTACTGGGCAGTTGGAGGCAGTCGGATGTGTGTCAGTGTGTGTGTAGGGGTGTGTGTCAGTGTGTGTGTGTAGGGGTGTGTGTGTAGGGGTGTGTATGTGTCAGTGTGTGTGTCAGTGTGTGTAGGGGTGTGTGCGGAGCGATAGTGTAGCGGTTAGCGCGCTGCGCTATGAACCTGACCACCCGGGTTCGATTCCCGCTCACGGCCAACACCAGTGACGATTATCTGTACCGGTCCCGGGCCTCCCCTAGGTCGACTCAGCCTCAAATGAGTACCTGGTGCGGTATGTAAACATTGCTACTAGGGAGACAAAGGCGGTCGGGCGTGGTGCTGGCCACCCACCCCCTCGTGTACCGTTCCGGCCTTCATAGGTGCTCGCTAACAGCACTTGCCCCTACAGTCTGTTAAGGCTATATGGGGAATATTTGTTATCTTTGTTGTGTAGGGGTGTGTGTCTGTAGGGGTGCAGTACGTGTTTGTGTAGGGGTGTGCGTGTAAGTGTGTCAATGTGTGTGAGTGTGTCAATGTGAGAGGGCGGTGTGTTTTCTAGTCTTGAGTGTCGATCAAAACAAGCCGCACGTCACAGCAGCCACAGCACACCCGGCATGCACACAGCAGCAGTGCTGCTCTGCTGCTGCTGCTCGCGCCCGGCTTCATTTTATCCGGAACTCTCCAGGACTGAGCTCCGACAATTTTAATTATAAACTCCTCGTGAGATCACAAAAGGGATATGGACGTAGAGATGAGTATTGAGATGAGCGAAGAAAGAAAGAGACAAGACAGAGATGCGTCGAGATGACAGAGATTCGGACACACGTGTCGTGAGATCAGAAACCAGCTGTGGACAAGATGGAGATTTGGGATGTAATTCGTATTTAGTGTAAATTTGCATCCATATGTGTTCATGAATGTATGGCCCCCTGTACTGGTCGAGCTTCTACCTTGTGCCTCCTCAGGTTGCAGTGATGCCCATTTAGTCCATGGGCAGAGCAAATATCGGCACCCATCTAAGGGGGAAAACGTTACACGTTACGATTTATTCGCACCTCCTATTAGCATGGTCGACTACGTACGGCGCGAAATAAGTTCAGCATGCATACTTGATAACTCCACTCATTTCAGGTGATTATGATCAGTTACCTTCATACGCTCATGTTGAGGTTGCTGAGTGGTGAGCCAGTGGTATGCAGGGCTCCGCCTGGCGAACGTCCCAAGCGGTTGATGCCGTCGAGTGGGTGAAGCGGGCACGCCGAGTGGGTGAAGAGGGCACGCCGCGGGCACGTCGAGTGGGTGAAGAGGGCACGTCGAGTGGGTGAAGAGGGCACGTCGAGTGGGTGAAGAGGGCACGCCGAGTGGGTGAAGAGGGCACGCCGAGTGGGTGAAGAGGGCACGCCGAGTGGGTGAAGCAGGCACGTCGAGTGGGTGAAGCAGGCACGTCGAGTGGGTGAAGAGGGCACGTCGAGTGGGTGAAGCGGGCACGTCGAGTGGGTGAACAGGGCACGTCGAGTGGGTGAAGAGGGCACGTCGAGTGGGTGAAACGGGCACGCCGAGTGGGTGAAGAGGGCACGCCGAGTGGGTGAAGAGGGCACGCCGAGTGGGTGAAGAGGGCACGCCGAGTGGGTGAAGAGGGCACGCCGAGTGGGTGAAGAGGGCACGCCGAGTGGGTGAAGAGGGCACGCCGAGTGGGTGAAGAGGGCACGTCGAGTGGGTGAAGAGGGCACGCCGAGTGGCCTTCCCATGCGGTCCACGGGTTGAGATCCGTGGCAGCAGTCCGACTTGTCGTGGAGTTCGTGCGGGGCTCTCCCGAGGGTGTGAATTGGATTCTGGAATCCCGTGGCCACTGTTGACTTGTATTGTACGTCGAATTTATTATCGCCAGTCTCCCTTGGCCTTAATGGGGGTGTTTTGTTACAGGTCAACTCTGAACCCAACTCATTCCACCCAGCCACTCTATTTAAACCATATTAAATATGAACGATATAACAAGAATGCAGGATCCTTGCCAATCGCTGTATTACTTTCAACTCCTCTGCATGCCTCGAACACTGTTTTGAACAGTCATGTAAAACGATTATTTAACTGAGTACTCGCAGCTATGGATATCAAAAACTGATGTCAATATTTTAAGCAGCGGATGAAAATGTTATTTCACGGATGCTCTCGTAACCGAAATGTGACGTTGGCGGTCTTCTGTGCGGCAGGAGACAGACGCAGTGGGGAACACTCAACCGAGATTTTATTTTACCAGGCAAAGCCCACTGAGCTATGAGATCTTTTTCGAGAATGGTGCCAAGGTGGCGTGATGTTAATTCCCTCGGCTGGTATATTTGAGGTCGTGGTTTTGATCCCGACCCTGACGCCTGTTGTATATTTGGAGTTGGCGTGTCTCTCTCCCCGTAGTCGCGTGGATTTTTCCCCAGGAACTCCGGTTTTTGTGTCCACATTTAGTTGGCCTTACCTGGTCAAATAAAACACATTTTAGTTTAGTTCCACGAGGGGCGACTCTACAGCCTCCCTCGGCCCCCATATCCTGGCCTTGCTCGTCCCTCCCAGTGGCAGTGCAGCCCCTGGCCCGCCGAGCTGCACTGATGGACTTTTGCAATTTTGTACTCAAATAAAACAAATTAATTTAGTGACTTGTTTTACTTTCATATACTTTGCACTCCTATCGGTGTTTGCTGCTGTTGTAACTTTCTTACCCGCCGCTCCTACTGGCCATCTGTGAAAAAAGAGCTTCATAGCTCATCGGATTCCTCCGTCCTGCTGCAGTCTCAATACAGATTCAGATTCTGAGTCACGCACCGCAAGGTCCTTGCATGCAGCAGCAGCAGCACGTCCGGGCGCATTCCACTTCGTCCACTGCCGACTCCAGCAACAACCACCAGGTCGGACAGACGAGATATGTTTTACGCGCAGCAAAGACAAAGATCCCCCTACGCAAGCTGTGGGGGCCAATGCTTTGTTACAATAATGATAATCATGATTCACATTTGTGAATTGGAGAATTCCGTCCGTAGATCCCACCCGCTGTGCCCCGTGTGTAGAGCCCAGAACGACGCTGGCTTTGATTTACATCGCGTCGATATTATCGCCGCACCTTTCAGGAACGTGTATTTATTGTTTGAGTGTTATACTTGTAAGTGATAAATAATATTAAAAAGACAGCCTGACTAAATCTATATCTTCTGTAATAATTCAAATTATAAACAAATAGCAACACATTTCCCCCCGTAAAACATTTGCACTCTTTCCTTACAGCCACCATACAGCCTAACACCTGTAGACATACCTTTAAAGCGATAAAGATGCGTAATAGGATGTATTGACTACATATATTGTGTAAATTACTCTCGAAGTTCTGAACATAAACTGTCATCCGTTTTTTAATAAACTACAAAAGCACATAAACGTATCTTTCACTTTAGTTTTCAAGAGAGGTTATA